AATCGTACAGTTGATAACTTTTATTTAGTACAGCAATGATAAATGTTCAAACTGCAAGCCATCAACTTCCAACATGAACCCACACTGACACACAAATTCTAACTGCACAGTAACATTACAGACAACAGGTAAACAGTTACTATTTTCAAAATTCTTTGATTCAATTCAATTCAGTTTATTTATACTGTACATCACTAAGTCACAACATACATTGTCTCAGGGCTCTGTACATGAAAAAACTTCAGCTCATCTTATCGTTAGATATCTTTCAAACATGAAGGATTTATTCCATATTTTATTTTTTCTTGTAAAAATAAACACCCATGAGGTTTTTTTTACATTAAAAAATGACTGATGTTAATATTTACAATATTTACTAAATTGCTATGATTTTTAAACCTGATGTAGCAAATTTTTTTCTGTTTAATTTTTTTTAAGTTAAGCAGGAATAATGTGGAAACCAGTCATTATCACAACTAAACTATTTATTTGACTTAATTTAACAACATTTGTAGAAATCCATCAAAACCTTTCATAACCGCGGTTTGAGCTCAACGCTATTTTCTTGCTATCCAGGGGCCTCATGTATAAACGGTGCGTACGCATAAAAAAGTTATGTGCGCCAGGTTCTACGCCCACGTTGTGATGTATAAAAACCAACGTTGAGTGAAAGTGTGTGTATCTGCCCCGGAGTGCAGCAGCTGTGCTTTGGGTAGATTCTCGAGCCAGGCGAGCGCACTCTCGCCAGCTGGGAAGGTGTTCATATGTGTCAACCCCTTTGGACGTTTACCGTCTAATGAGCCTCAAAAATCTGTTTTTTGCTAAAAATCCGTAGACTACCACTCTGACAGCGCTGCTGTAACGCAAGAGGAAAGGAGAGAGGAGAAAGTGGATAACGTAATGTTTATTGTTTTTTTGTATTTCATTTTTATTAAATTTTTTAACGTCCGTTCAACGCCGTGTTCAACTAAATAGACAACAACTAACCAGGCTTTAACATCACATTCAGGAGATGTCTGTAAATTTCAGGAAAATCTCAGGCTTTGGTTATCCCGTGTGAATGCACCACATAAAACGACACCCACAGAGTCCTGGCCTGTAGATGAGTGTAAACTGCAGAGTCCTGGCCTGTAGATGAGTGTAAACTGCAGAG